TCCTGTAGTATTTCTTTTTTTTTTATTAGTTAATATCCATGTAAAAAATTAGTTTTCTTCTACTTTTTTTGGGTTTCATTTGCACCTCTCCTTTTTTCCTACTTAAGAATATATATATATATACACACACACACACACACTAACTTTGTGCTTTAATTTATTCCAAGTGTCAGAAATGACCAGTTAAGGACAAATTGAAACTCTTGGTGTTCTTTAAAATTTAAAAATCTTAATCCCTCAGAAGTTTCTGTCCTTTGCAGACAAGGCTGGGGAGCACAGCCTGAAACCTGCCACACCCACCGCAGCCACCCACCCACACTCACCGCAGCCACCCACCCACACTCACCCTCCTTGGATCCTTTCCGCCTTCGTTTCCGTTCTTCTCTTGCAGACCTTTTTTTCTCTTTGTGTCTCTGTCGGAGTGCTGTTTTAGGATCAGTAATCCAGGCTTGATAAACAAACTGAAGGGAGAAAGTTCAATTATCATCTGGCCTTTTAATAATTAGAAATAAAAAAAGGGACCTACACCAAGCTTCCTGACTTTTGAAATATTTTTTCCTCCCAACACAAACTAAACATCCCTGTGCTATTATTATTATCATGAGATTCAATTTGTTTTAGAAAAAGACAACAGATGTTGTAGTAATATATTTCATCTGGTATCACAGATATCATGAGATAAACTGTGAGTATACCATACAAACCATCATTTCTCCCAAGTCCCTACATCTCACCACCATTTGTGATACTTATTACTGATACTTTTGCACTGTCCACAATAGGTATAAGCTGGAAGCCTCATTCAGTATCAGTAGTTTCTCCCATCACAAATAAACTTTGAGTCAAAACAAAATAACATCTTTAATAGTCTTCTTTACTTTGGGAAAATAGTTTTGTGCATTTGATACTCTTCCTCCTGAATAACAGCTATTACCAGCGACTTGAGAAAGCGGTTTGGAGAATGATTAGTACTTTGCGAGAAAAAAAAATATGACATTAAGGTTAAGGAGTTATTCCAGAATAGCATTAAAGAAAACCTGTGGGGCTTTTGGTTGCCTTTTGTCATTTTCATTCAAGAGCTGAAAACAGCTGCATTAATATATTATAACCGATAACCAGGAAAGAGCAATTGTGAACAGCCCCCCACCAGAAGTCTCCCAAATCATGCAGAAAGAACAAAAAGAAAACCTTGATAGAAACAGTCAGCCATCTAGCAACATGAAGTCAAGCAGGCATGCTTCTCATGCACCACAAACACACCGGGGTCTCAGGGAAGCTGGGTTTTTCATCATGATGATAAAGTTAAATAAATGTTTTCTGGGAGCTCTGTAAACCCAGATCTTATTCTATATTATTTTCACATTTCTGAAATCTTTGAAAAACACAGCATAAGCAAATCAGTGGCACTGTGAAGTCAGTAGAAAGTAAAGAGAGATTCAAATTTTCCATATATGGAAACGGAAGGGTCATAGGTTACTATAATAGACAAACTGTTTCTTTTTTTCTCACTGGTAGAAATCTGAATTTTATGAGAAATTAAAACAAATGCAACATCTGTATTATTTCTGAATAACAAATTCCAGGAAGCAAAAAATTATTCTATTTTATGCCAAAAGCATATCTTAAACAATGGGAAGATGAACTGGAATTTTCAGGAGGACTGAATAAAGGAATTTTTGGTAGATGTTTATGGGCTATGTTAATTGGGAATTCTATCAAGATCTTTGAGTTACAGTACATTAATAAGCAAACTTGCCTCAGCACAATATTGATTACTTTAAAATAATCTGATTATTGAACATAAGAAATTTTCAGGTTTAAGAGCAACATATGGTGACATTTCCTTTAAAAAGTGTTATCACAATATTGTTTTTAGATGATGCACGAATCCCAAAAATAGAAAACAAAAAAGTAATTGAGGATTTGTAAATATAAGAGGCGCACAAGTTGGAGGAATTCTTTTTCTCTGAAGAAAAAGGAAACTGGGAGGAAAAGGAGAGAGGAAAAGGGATGTGAAGGGTGGAATGGAAGAAGGCTTGTGGAACGGGTGGGTGCCATTAACATTTTGGTTTATAAAAGGGCACTCCTGGCTCAACAAAGGACCCCTAAAGAAGAAGCATGTCAGTGCTGCCTCACTGCCATGAGAATCGAGTATGCAAACCGGGAAAGCGGAGAGAGGAGGGAGTCATAGGGTAATTCCTTATTTGTAGGTAAATTATCTTAACTTTGATGTTTTGAAATAGAAACATTTTACAGTTCCAGGAATTATTAAGAGGGTCAGAAAAATGTTGACAATGAAGAGGAGGGGAAACGTCCCATTCCTTACTGAGTCAAGAAATGGAAGGCTTTTACCGAACTTCCCAATTCTTTTTTTTTTTTTGACATGGAGTCTCGCTCTGTCGCCCAGGCTGGAGTGCAGTGGCGTCATCTCGGCTCACTGCAAGCTCCGCCTCCCAGTTCCTGCCATTCTCCTGCCTCAGCCTCCCGAGCAGCTGGGACTACAGGTGCCTGCCATCACACCCGGCTAATTTTTTGTAGTTTTAGTAAAGACAGGGTTTCACTGTGTTAGCCGGGATGGTCTTGATCTCCTGACCTCCGCCCACCTTAGCCTCCCAAAGTGCTGGGATTACAGGCGTGAGCCACTGTGCCCAGCCAGAACTTCCCAATTCTTACTTTGCAGCTGCACCTGTCAACCAGCTGGATGGGCCTCTCTGGAAAATCAGACACAAGCTCCACGAACCAGGAGTAGAAAAGTATATGGAAATTTACATGAAAGACCTTTGAGCTCTCCAAAAAGCTGCTACCAGTAGCATGCGTTCCTGACTTTATCTTAAATTTTACTATATATATCAGGGGAAAATAGGATTCGTTTTACTAACAACTTATGCGAAAATGCACTTATTCTTTAAGACAGGGAGAGCTTTATCAGAGTGGAGATCCTTAACTGAAACTGGTGAAGTTTCATCATCTGTCCTTTGATTCAGGTGTGGTCTAGCACCTTCTTTATGTTGTCTGTAAGATAATTTTTTAAAAAAGAAACTAAGATGGGGGATAATTACATTGTTATATTTTATTTAAATAAATTCTTCAAGATGAATTGGGAAAGTCATATGGTAGTCATAGAAAAGAAAAGGAAAAGAATTTGGGGGAAGCAGAAATGGTAAATACTACACTAAAAAACAGGATCCTGGCATTTTAAAAGCAGAAGGAACCTGGAGGTGTGGATGCTGCTACTCAAGGCCCAGCCACGGTTGTGCTTCACATGAGAGCTTGAGGGAAATGCACAATGTGAGGTCCCATAGGATCTGCTGAATCAGAACCTGCATTTAAATTAAGATCCCAGGGTAAAATGTGTGAAGCACTGGTCTATGTCACTATCGAACTGCTTGGTTAGCAGTGGAGGGACATACAGACCAAAGCATTTTAGTGGCTGCCCCTGACAGAGTTCGGGAGAAAGGGCTTTCTATAAAATGTAAGAATAGGAATTCATTATTAATGTTTTTCCGTAACGAAGTGACTACAGCATAGGTAGCTGAGTAACTTCAATTGTGCATTAGATTAATCAACAAATAACTTTTGACAGTATAATCAAAAGCCCTAGCACGGATCTGTGGTAGTGAGGAGCCTGCAGACTGCACTGGGTGGATCAGCCCAGGGAGAAGCTGGCTGTACCGAGTGCAGAAACTGGAAGATAGAGACTGAAAGGGACTCGAAAGAGAGATGGAATAAAAGACATCTTTTATTAACTTATCCAGAATTTTACCAGCTTTCTGAGAAAAATTATCACCTTTTTTACTCATCAGAACTGATGCATGCAACCAGATGTGCCCCTTTTAAAATGAGATGTGACTTAGGCAACACCATGAGGAGGACGGAAAGTCTATCTGTATCTGCATTTTCTCTTTCTACTTTTCGATAGTCTCTGGTGTCCACTTAAGAACAAGAGTCAAATAATAAGAACTTTGGCTTCTAAGAACTTGTTTTGGAAAACTTTTTCTAATATTTTACGTTCCTGTAATTCCTTCATGGTACCATCTATAGAACCGAGAAAATGCAGAGATAGGGCAATAAAGGTATATTTCTCTACAGTTCTACAGAGCGGAGAGTCACACACTACACATCAGTAAAACATCAAATACCTTTGCAGCTCTGATTAAATACTGAAGAATAGTTTTGGGAAGTTTAATGACAGACTTTGGCAAGGCTAAAATGGCTGATGCAAACTTCCCAATAGCTCTCTACAAAGAAGGACAAAGCAAGAGTAATTAGTAGAAAAAAACAAAAACTAGTAATTTAATATATGATGTCAGTATGAATCCGTCTCTACTGTTACACCAACTAGGTTAAAAGGTGCCAGTCACTGAAGCTGGAATAAAATGTGCTCTGCTTGTAAATTAGGAATAAAGAAAATAGTCAATCATTGCATGTAATCCATCCAACATAGTGAAGTTGTTCATGTTCTCTCCTTGGCTGCATGATGAGTGGTGGTTAGAATAAAACTCTTTCGAATAAAAATAAATGAGTTAAGTCATTAGTATAAGCCTGTTGCAAACATGCGCAAAAACTCGGTCATGAAGAAACAGACACGAAGCAATGGGGGAAGAAAGAAAGCATGAGACCAAGGTGTCTCTTCGGAGATTTCAGTTTTTCAATGTCATTGGGAAAACAAAGCATGGATGGGCCCCACCCACTTGAGAAGGCCTGGGCAAAAAACTGACGACCTTATCATGGGCATATCATGTGGCTTGATGGACATCATTCTATGTGCCTCATAGGAAAACAAATGGGAAATAACAGCCCTAGTATGTAGTTGATTGATAAAAGAAACACAGACCAATTTTCATTCTATACGTAACTCTAATGACAAAGCCTCATCTTTAACAAGCATTGATTCACATTCACTCAATATGCTACATTAGGCTGGTGAGCTATAGCTGAGAATGGGACAGCAGGTTCTAAAACAGAAAGGTAGCTAAGCTGAAGAAACCAGAACTGTGCCACGTATTTTTATTACTAGTTCAATATATTCTCAAATCTTTAGCAATACATATGAAATGGTTTTCAAACTTTGAAGCAATATTTAAATGATCATTTGCTCCAAAACAAAGAAAGGATTTTGTTTTATCGCCTATCTCACATATTGAAATGTAAGTCCAAGCAATCCAAAGCAATGCCAGAGAAATCTTTTTCACTTCCTGCTTGCAAGAAAAATGTTGAGTTCACCCAACGAAGCTTTATTTTTTGTTTATAGTATCAAACTGTTTCAGTGCAAGTGAATGAAAACCTGGCCTGCACACGGTTCTTACTTGATACTAATTACGGTGTTGCTGGGAGCAGGCATCATTACAATTTCATTAGAAATAAAGAACGGCAGATGTAAATCAGAAGTTTCGGGGGAGCTATGACATATGAATATGACAGTAGGCGTCCTAGGCCTGCAATCAAGGTCTGTCAATAAGAAAAGCTCTTCCAACTAGTAAAGGAATGATTTTCCCCATAATTACCTGGAATGCTGACCTTCGTGGAGGCTCTTCATCTTCCTTCTTTAATTCTTCCTCTTCCTCCTCTTCACTATCCGTTTCAAACAAATAATAATCTCCACTCCTGACCACTAAGTGAAACAAAATATTCACTTATTTCTTGAAAGACATATAAGGAAATTGGGGGCTTATTAATGAAATGTCCCCTAAAGATACACAAATTGTCCATAAGAGAACCAGAACGAGAGATGTTGGCAGAGAGGAAAACACACGAGATGAAGAGAACTCATCTTCGGCTAATGCTACGTGGTGTTGGTATGTTGGGTCTACAGAGTATGAGGCCTTGTCTTTGCCATATAAGAGAATTGGCCACTACAGGGTGGTTCTGGTATGTTCTCCCTTCTTCATTGTAAATTTTACATAGATGAAGCAGATCAACTCTGCAGTAACCAGTTTTGTTACCTTGATGACCAAAATAACTGAACACTATCGTTTCAAAATTCAGCAATTTTGGTCTTTAGACAAGGCCAAAGTGAGGTGGAGGATCAGGATTTGTCTGAATGGGCCCAAACCGTTGCAGATAAGCCAATCAGGACGATTCAGGACCAAGGTCAGTGTCACCAACCTCCTCCTTCACTTTATACTGTGCAGACCTGACTTCTCCACATGTAACACAAGGGACAAAACATACATGGCAAGACATTTCAAAAAACAAACAAACAAACAAAAAAAAACACCCACACACTGCCATGAGGACGAAATGGGCAGGTAACATTGAAAACAAAATAATACAACACAACAACAACGACAGTAACAACAAAAACACCAACAACAGCGCTCTGGCTGCTTCTACGTGTCATAGCCCTGAGACAGACTGAGAATGGCAGACAGGGTCCATAGGGTTTACAACTGCGAGGCTTCTGGTCAACAAGGAACTCCCCAGCAGCTTTCTGAAATTTGAGGAGCACTGTACTGACCATAAGACACAAAGCACAAACAGTATGGATCGTCTTTGCCTTGTCTGATGCTTTCCCTGCAAGAACATAATGCCTGTGTCAAGAGTTGGGAGCAGAGAAAACTACAACGTACAGAGATTTAAGGAAATTTAATAAATTAAATCTTTATCAGTTTGATCATTATTTTAAGTCTATCAGAGAAAAGAGGCCCAGCATATACATTTCTGATGCTACAAGTAATGTCCCATCATTGCAGGAAAACATATTTTCAAATTATATTCAGGTTTTCAAATGCTCAGGTATCTTTTGGATGACATATTGTGATATCTTAAGTTATCTTTTGGGCCTATACATTTTAAGGTAATGGAAAACCTTGGCTTGTTTAAAATTAGTTGCTTGAATATCACTTCACATGGCCAAAAGTTAAGTAATTTTGCCCACGATTTCAGAAGAATCTGAAGCCTCCATTCATGAAGATACAGAGTGGGTGAATTGGGCCTTATATCCTTGAACAGAAGCACTGTCATTTGTTATTTTCATTTTGAAGAAAGAACCAGGCCCAGAGTACTGGGTCCAGGCCTTAAGAAATAAATGCAATACAACACAAGTGAGAATAAGCAAGAACAAACCAAAGTTACAGCATTACATTTGACAGTGAAAAAGACCATTAAAGTAATGCCTTCACATAAGCCGAGAGATTCGCAGGAAAGTGACGTGGACTCTACATCACGTGGTCGTTTGGGAAAAACACAGACAATTATAAGATTGAGCATTTTACCCTCATTATAAGTTCCAAAATCAACATTAGCTTAAATTGTATTCAATCATACCTTCAGTAACTTTTATTCATCTGGACAAGTTCAAAAGGTTTTCATCTCAAGCAGTTGTAACACTGGTTTTATCATTAGAAACCACCAATATTGGCCGGGCTTGGGTCACGCCTGTAATCCCAGCACTTTGGGAGGCCGAGGTGGGCGGATCACGAGGTCAGAAGATGGAGACCATCCTCGTTAACACGGTGAAACCCCGTCTCTACTAAAAATACAAAAAATTAGCCAGGCGCGGTGGCAGGCACCTGTACTCCCAGCTACTCAGGAGGCTGAGGCAGGAGAATGGCATGAACCCAGGAAGCGGAGGTTGCAGTGAGCCGAGATCGCAGCCTGGGCATCAGGGTGAGACCCTGTATCAAAAAAAAAAAAAAAAAAAAAAAAAAAAAAAAAGAAACCACCAATATTTATGTGAACTAGTAGAATTATCCCATAATAAAAAAGAAAACGTAAAAAAGTCTCTTATTTCCTTATAAAATGTTATTGAAATGAAACTAGGAAAATAAGAGCATATTTTCATTCATGCCATCTGTTAAATAGTTAGTAGAAAAGCTCTTATACACTTGTTTGTTAGCTCAGATGGAGAACCTGACTGCAGTCTGTGTCCACATACATATCATGGATGTTGATGTTACTGCTAAATTATTAAGTTTGAAATTAACTTTAAATTCCACCACTTTTATCCACAGAACTTGGCCCTCTGTTTCAGATAATTATCAATAAGATGAAGTTTGGTATTAACTGAGGCAGTACTGAACCAGTATTGAAACACAGCATTGGAATGGAAGGTATCATTGAACAGCAATAATGCAATCTTATGTGTGTACATAGGTATGGAAGTAGGAGATTTGTCCCTGTACAGACCATGCTAAGATCTTCACTGCTTACCAATAACATCAAGAACATAGCAACATTTTTGTATTGTCAATAGACTTACACATGTGTATCCAACTACACTAATTCTTGCACTTGGCTTCTCTAAGAAATCGTTGTTTGAAAACCCAGTAACTCAAAAGATCAAATTAAGGGCTTCAAACAAAGTACTTCCAGATCTAAAGATAAATTCTGGAACTCATCATAGACACAACAATAAAGCACACATTCTTTCCCTTTCATTCTTCATTTGCTTGTAAAAAGAAATATATTTTGCAGCAAAAAATTTAACGCCACAGTCTGAAGGATTCCAAACTATGAATTACACACATTTCTGCATTATTGCATCATAAGGTTTTGTAACAAGGCACATTTAGTTTAACATCAATCTTCAAGAACTTGATATAATGAGGGTGAAATGAACCAGAAAATCTAAAATCAACAACCTTCATAGGAAGTTCTTTAAATTATTACAACTTGTAAGATAGCTATCAAAGACCATATCCAATTCCTTTGCAAATGCAATTTTTAGATGAGGAAAGGAAAGGCAACCACAATGACTGCAGTGGGAATTTACCCCAGGTGAAGTGAAAAAACATCCAATATGACACAGTTTTGAAATGGATAGGTCTCTCTAAACTAGCAGAGGCCCTTTAAAAACATAAAGACAAGCACAGTTTACTTGTGACTTGATAGAAACAGGCATCTTGTGAACTGCATTACCAGATTGTTAGCGTGACCGTCATGCCCTGAACAGTAAATAAGAGTCACATTGGACTCTGAATGGAATCTTTTGTCTTTGGACTTGGGGAGAAAATTAAATAAAACTCTTTATAATCTTGTGTTTTTCTTTTTTTTTTTTTGTCATAATGTTGAAATTCAATATTTAGAATTAAATTTGATTACATCCAGATATGCCAAGCAAATTTCAAATATTGCTTCATTAAACCAGCTTTCTAATTTAGAAAATTATGTCTTGGGAGAGAAAGCCAATGTCAGATCTATGTGAAGCCAATAATTAGGTATGGGAAGAAGTTCTAATTTATTTGATTTCCTAGTGATTCTAAATATCCTCCTAGTAGATTCACTCCTACAACTGTGTGATGTTATTTGTCTCAGTGATATTCCTTGTCCGATTAGATTAGCTACAAGTATGGAGACATCGTGTGAGATATAAAAGACTGAAGAAGACATTATATGTGACTTGCAAAATAATAATTATTCAATATTCTAAGAAATGTAAAGAGGACTGGATTGGAATCGGTCATTCCACTATAATGCCATTGACCTATAGTGATATTTCCTTTGCTAAGCAGAGCAAATATAGCCACCAAGCTCCAGAATTCCTCATTCATCTCTATGATCAGGAGGGAAACACATTGCATTCTATGTGGCTATCAGGATCTGCTTTCAAAAATCGTTTTCTGGTTTTTGCTGTTCATTGGTCATCTCTGAGCATCAGGAGGCTTGAAGGTTGTGCCGCATTTGGGCATTGGAATTTGGAGTACCTTTTTGAAACTGGGGAGGAGGCGAAGTAAGAAAGTGAGTGCATTTTAAGTTATCCCTCATTTTTCTATTTAATAAATTGCCAAAAATCCTCAAATGGAAATAAAATCAAAGCTGTGGGAATGACGGGAGGGGAGGCTCACTGGCATCCATGCCTCGTGCCTTACAGAGAGGGTCACTGACACTTTGAATAGAATGACTATCCTTACATCAGAGTCCAAGGTGGAGCTCAAGCTCATTTGTAGTAAGGGTATTTAGCCATAAAATATGCATGTGAATAGGGCTCTAGACCTCAGAATTGGACAATATAATATTCAATTCTTCTTCCCTTGCTGAGCCCAGAAATTGTGCTCTAGAGTCTATAAGCCACACGTTTGGCTTTCTTCAGCCAGCACAGGAATGTTTGTGCTGACGTCCCTGGAAGAATTGGACCTCAGGCTCAAAGACCCACTGACATTGAAATTTTCCTACACTCCGACCCCCTATCAAGTCACAAGGATCAAACCATGTATGGAACACATGGGTCACGGGAACGCCTGAATTCTGGTCAAGGATATAAGGGTTAGAGTTGATAAGGTTGTAAGAGGATCGAGAAAACCTACTGGAAGCATGATCAACCCAAGGCCGCCACCACTGCTTTTTTTTGCCCTTGGCTTTCTGTTTGTCTGCTTCTCCTAAAATAAAATACGTCCAAATATTAATTCGTATAAAGTGAGAAAACAAATTTTGAAAACCACGCTTTAACAACTCAATTGTCAAATCTAGATAAATTGCAAAAGTATATCAGAGGTCAGGTAAGGAACTATATTGAATCTGAAAAATACACATGTATTAACAGTCAATTTCACAAGATAAATACTAATTGTTCTTTTAACAGTATGCTACATTTTCACTTTCTTCTTAGTGACTAAGGGCATATAAAGACATTAAAAAAGAAAGGATTACCTGTCAAAAATACATCTCACATTGAATATTCCATTGAATTAACAGAAAGGAAGCATCCCCCAAATTTTATAGAATCATTTACTGGCAAATAATTTGTTAAAGTACATAAACTACAATAAGTAGAATTTTTTCTTGTGATTATTTTAATGCATGGCTGGAAAATATAAATTTCCTGGTCACGAATAGATACTATGCACTGGGAAAATATCATGCATTATTTCTCCATTCCATTCACATAGAGAAGCATGCAAGCCTCTACAAAAGATCCTTTAAACTTTAATTTGATATAATAAATCTATAATTAGATATAATCAATATATATTTCATGGTAAGTTTCATTTGAGCAGGCAATAATTGAATGATATTTTAGGTACCAATATTCAGGTGCCACATAAAATACACATATATATTTCATTTCCATATAAAATTTATAGAAATAAAAGATAATAGTAGACTATATATCGGAAATATATCCCTTAAAGAAACAAATTAAGCGGGCTGGGCATGGTGGCTCACGCCTGTAATCCCAGCACTTTGGGAGGCCAAGGTGGGCGGATCACGAGGTCAGGAGATTGAGACCATCTGGGCTAACCCAGTGAAACCCCATCTCTGCTAAAATACAAAAAAATAAGCCGGGCGTGGTGGCGGGCATCTGTAGTCCCAGCTATTTGGGAGCCTGAGGCAGGAGAATGGTGTGAACCTGGGAGGCGGAGCTTGCAGTGAGCCAAGATCGCGCCCCTCACTCCAGCCTGGGTGACAGAGCGAGACTCCACCTCAAAACAAATAAACACAACAAAACAAAAAAAGAAACAAGCAAAATCCTGCCAATCTACTGCAGAAACAGATGTCTGTGGAACAAAAGCTAGGTTATGTGTTTGTTAAAGCTATCTTGCTGAAGAGTAGATACTTGTAATTGATTTATCAAATATATACTTTATGAAACTAATGAATGTATATAAAGCCTGCTGAATCAAAAAACTATTGATAATCTTGGCAGAATAACAAGTAATGTTATTTTACAGCCCTGCTCAATATCAAGCTACTATTCAATGTTAAGGTACTTGAATAAGAGGAAAATGTCTTGACGTACTTTCATCATCCTCTTCAGAGAGTTTTTGCATATCCTGGCCTTCCCCTGGCTCCTGGGTCAAGCTGAGCATCCTCTCCTTACCCTTTTTATATTTCTGTTGCCTGGCCTTGATGCGATCCATCCTATAAAGTAAAATAACATTAGTAATGCCAAGAACACATTCATTGTTCTCATGTGGTCAGTACTTTGGACTTATGCTGGTATGTATGTAGCTAAATTCATGGACAAATCACTTTGGAATATTTGGGAATTGTACAATGGTTGCTCATTAGCAACAAGTATCCCTTTCTTTTATATACACACTTGTGTGTGTGTGTGTGCGCGCACGCGCGTGTGTTTGGGTCTGTATTCCCACTGGCACTGCATAGATGCTAATCCTAATAATATGATCAATAATGATTATGCTAAAGTTAGGTAAGCTATACTTGATGTCCACTCACATCTTGTATCATAGTCAGCTTGAACATTGCATATTATGAAATACAAGTCCTTTATTCTCCCAAGTTTTGCATTCTTAAACAAATGGAAAGATTTAGCAAAGAGAATTACAGTAATAGACCTCACTTATGGGAAATTAGGAACATATTCTAAACGTGAGTCCAAATTTTTTACTCTTCTAGGCCTGATTTGGATAACTAGAAACACCAGTAAAAACAGTTGTACCATATTGCATTTACATTATAATTTTTTATATATAATTTATATATAATTTATGTCTTTATGAAAATAATCATGCTGTGGAATAATCTAATTTATACTAAGAAATATTTCTGCTTGGGAAAAAACGCTGGGAAATAAGGTCAGAATGAGATAAAACTGCCTTAGCAAACTTAGGGAACTTTCCCAGTGGGCAAATGGTGTCTCCATTTTCTTGGGAAAAGTGTCTAGGCTTATAATTCCATGGCCATCGCCTTTTAAACCTGGTTCCCAAACAGTCCTCAGAGGTTCCATCATTGCTGGAAAATTCACTCTAAGAAGATTCTTTTCCATGGAATTCCCAAGTCTCCAGAGTGAAGTCAGTCTACCCCTTGGCTCATCCAGAATGGGATAGTAGGAAAAAACCTTAGATGGGATATAAAGAACCCTGGCTTATATTTCTAGTGTTGCCTCTAGTTAGTGTTGACTCTAAGTCATCTAATACCAGGGTCATCAGTTTCCTTCCAAAGAGACTGGATGATATTATCTAAAACTATGCTTCCAAAGCTGACTCCACATTTAGCCCCTTAGAGGGAATGGATGCTTATATCAAGTACTTGGCACTGAGCAAGACCCTGTCTCATTTATTAGCTAGTTTAATCTTTACAAAAACCCAGGAAGGCAGAATTGTGAGTCCGGAAAACTCAAATTTAGAGAACTTAAATGACCTGTTCAAGGTTCTAAAGTAAGTCACAGAGCTAGCAACTGATCCCTGGTCCTCTGCAAAAGAGCGCCCATCTCCACCATCCTGGAGCGATCTTTCTGTTAAACTGCTTTCACTTTCAGTCTAGTGGCATGAGCAATTGCCCCCGCACAAGAATAAATAAATAGGAAGTTGTGAAAGTCCATACATATATATTTTTCAGGGGTTTGAGGCTCCCCAAGAGTGGAGCGCCAGCTGAATGTGGTCACACAATCAGGAGACGGAAGGAGGATGAGCATCAGTAGCATCCTTACTGTCGCTTCAGCTGGTCCATGGACTTCTTCTCTTCCTCAATTCTTGCCTTCACAGCTTTTACAATTGTGGCCTGGAAAAGTTCAGCTCCTCTAAAGGGGAAGTGGAAACATGAACAAGTCAGTATTCTTGCCATTGTTGTTCATCTCTTCCTGAAAATTATTACTAAGGCTCAGAAAACATAACATCTCTTTATGGCAGCTGCTTGTAGTTTCCTGGCTGGGAGTGGGAGTCAACAAGGCCCCTTCTAGAAGCCTTTTCCTACTAGGCTAACAGGGCACAGCCTTCCCCCTGGGAGTGAAGAGGCTGCTCACAAGCCCGGTAGTGAAGATCGGTGAAGAGAAAGTGTTCTGTATTCTCCAAGACACTGAAGCCCACGAGCCTCTTCAAACCTGTCCCACTAAACGTTAGACTTCAGTAAAGCATTCTCACCTGACCTTATTGCAGTTATACCAAGGGGAGAAATTTGCAAAAAGGGTACATTCCGATTCATTTTCTACTCAGTGAGCAGAAACTGGGGATTCCTTCAGGGACTATGTGAAGGCCAAGTTCCTGCTCCATCTGCAGGACTTGTAGTCTCTTGTCCCTGATTCTCTTCTTCCTGTCATTCCACTCCCTTCTGTTCTTTCTCACTTTTCAGGTCAACTTCAGTGTCTCCATAAATCTCCTCAACGTTCTTCATATTCTCAGCTCTGTCACACTATTACGTGCTTCACAAATCCCAGACCTGCAGGAACCTGACGGTGTGCCCGCCCTGTCCTGAGAGGAGCTGTTGGCAGCTGCTGGAAAAAACAGCCGCCTGGGCAGACGGTTCTCTGCAGAGCCCCCGACTCCTTGGAGTCTTCTGCTTCTCCACAGTGGCTGTTTCAAACTCTGCTACGCTTTTCTCAAGTCTTTGAAGTCTGTGGAGTGGTTTTTCACTCCTAAATGACCTAGCTTCCTGCTTCCCAGAGGGAACACAAATCTTAAGGCAGTAAGTTGCTCAGTTTCCTGCACCATCCCTCCCACAGGGGTCCTGCAGGGATAGTGGAAGAGGTACCGTTCACCTGCCTAGGCCTGCCTTGTGCTCCAGGTCCCTTCCCCACCCCTAGCCTGGGGGACACAAAATTCCTGCTTCTCTGTCTCGTTGCTTTTCCAACCTTTCCATCAGTACTGAATTCTGTCCATAAACATGCAAATGTGCTCAAGTCTTGCTAACCTTAAAAAAAAGAAAAAGAAAACCCATACATCCCCACATCCCACATTTTCCTATGCAGGGACTTACATCACTCCCCCTTCACAGTCAGGTGTCTTGAGGTCTTGTCTCTAAGCCTTTACAACTCCCACCTCTGCTTGTTGCTGTCTGACTTTGACCCCACTGTCAAGGTCACCAATTTCAATGTTCAGTTGTTATTTTCGTCCTTATATAACCTATCTGATGGACTTCCACTTGGAAAGAATCTTCCTCAGGCTCCTAAGCAACGTGCTCTCCTAGTTTTCTTTTTCCTTTGTGGCTTAGGCTGCTTAGTCTTCTTTACAACCTCTTTCTTTGCCCATCTCTCAAACATGAATGTTCCCCAGGGTTCTCTTCTCATTTTTCACACCCCCTCTCAGCAGCTGCAACTCACCTCCTTCAATTCTATCTGTGCGATGATGGCACTCCATCTACTCTCTTCTCCAAGCCTGTCCATGCATCTGCCCACTGCACTTCCCAACTGGTTGAGTTTCATGTGCCCATGAGACCTACAACTCCACAGCTGCGGTCGGTCTTCTCTCCCTGTTTGAGTTCCTATATTTGGGACTGGCACCACTGTTTGGCTAAGCCAGAATCCTGGGCACATCACCCTCTATGCTTCCCTTTCTGTCACCGTCTCCCTTCCTTCCAAGCAGTTTTCCAGCTGTGCCTATTTTGCCTCTGGAATATCTTTCTCAGTGATCCTATCCTGGTCTAGCTGCTACTTCCATCCTGAATTATCATTGCAGCTGCTTAGCTGTCTTTGTGCCTACAGTGCTGCCTGTACCCATCTGTTCTCAATACCACAGAGTGAGCTTCCTGAAATGCAAATACAGTCATACCACTTGCTTGTTTAAACACTGCAAGGCCTTTCTAAGACTGTGGGAGTATTTCTAAAGACAAAATCCTGGATGATAGCCCCCCAAGGACCTGGTCTCTCCTGACCTGGAGCTTATCGCTCACCACTCACTGTTCTCATCTTCCAATCTCAGTGCTGCAGTCACTGTGAGCTTCTGATGGCCACTTCCCTCCGTAGCTTCACTGGGCTGCTTCCCCTGCCTTCTCCTCTGACTAACTCCTCTTCATCCTTCAGCCTGCACTGGGAATGGAAGGCCACCTGGTTCACACCCCTGCAGCTGATTATATTCTCTTGATATGACCTCATGGCTCCTGGAGTGTCTCCTACCGTCACACCTGCTGTCATCTGAATGTCTGCATCCCCTACAATTCACATGTGGAAATCCTGACTCCCAAGGTGACGGACAGGAGGTGAGGCCTTTTGGAGTTGATTGAGCGGAAAAGCAGAGCCCTCCTGAATGGGATTACTGTCTTCATAAAAGAAGCCCAAGGGAAGTCTCTTGCCCCTTCCACCAAAATAGGATGCAGTGGGAAGACGGCCATCTATGAGGAAGTGGGCCCTCGGCTGACACTGAATCTGCCTGAACCTTGACGTTGGACTTTCCAGCCTCTGGAACTGTAAGAAATAAGTGTCTACTGTTTACAGACCACCTACTTTATGGTATTTTTGTTATGTCGGCCCAAATGGACTGAGACGATACCAGGTGTACTGCAGTAGAATTGCTTGCTCACGTGCCACTTGCCTGCAGGTCTGTGAGCTCTGTGAGGGCAGAGGTGAGCATCACCTCTTTGTAACAGAGTAGGAAGTGGAAAAATGGATGCATGAATGAATGTGAATTCTTTGGACACACTATTATGAGTTCAATGCTTATTTATCAACTCATGGCTTTTCTTTAATAGGCATGAACTGTACTCTGAACCACAGTTATCGCTCTTACTATAACATGAAGGGCATGATTTCTAAATCATTTTGACAACTTCGGGAAAAAGACACTGGGGAACATTCACATTTGACAGATGGGCAAAGAAAGAGGTTGCAAAAAAGACCTAGAAGCCTGAACCACAAGGGAAAAGGGGAAATTAGGAGAGCACATTGCCTTAGGAGCCTGACGAAGACTGTTTTTTAGTGCAAGTTCATCAGATAGGTTATACAAGGACCTCTGCAGACCAAATGTTTTGGGAAAGGCAAACAAGAGACATTTACCTGCAAAAATACCAGCTGTTTATGTACAAGTAAATAAGGTTACTATTGGGATGAAACATTGTATTCTGCTCTGAAAAAAATGTCCTGGGTATTAGAAAATGATTATAACAATGAATTCCAGGGCAATGTGGTACACAAAGTCATTGTCATCCACAGAATGAGGGCTAGGTGTGCCACGAGGCTCCTCTGACTAACTGCAGGTCCCCGACTAGGGCCTCTTTCTATTTGACTCCAAGTTAGGTACAGAGGCTGACAACTGCCATCATATAAATGGACCTTGGAAATAAACATTGTGTTTATCTTGGCAGGGAAAGAGAACAGACTCTAGAAAAACTGTAGGTAAACACAGATATGTTAATCTAAACCTCAAGTCAAATGATAGATATTGGTAATTTCATATAATAGAACCCAGTATCCATCAGCTTATTCACACCAAGAATCTGATGGGACCTAGGCAAGGTCTGAGTTTCTGAGAGGAACAGACACAGCAGCTGGGGGCCACAGAGCTAGTCATCAACACCCAGCCGCCGCCTCAGGGCGCTTCGCTTTATTACCTCTCCCCAATCTTTTTTCCTAAACTTACAAGAGCAGGGGCAAAAACTGGAAGAACAATAGAGCCTAGGAGGAAAAACAGGTAGTAATGCAAATTGTGTCAGTGGCTCAGAGAAGAAAAGCAGGCTAGTAGGGGGAGGTAGGTGTAAGATGGACTAAACTCTAGACCAGTGTGGCATACGTTACTGTTTTGTCTGAGACCAGACTGAGCCACTTTTAGAGAAGTGGTGGATTCTGAAAGGGCTCCAATTGACCAGTGAACCTCTGGCCTTCCATGGCATCCCCATTCCTTGTGAAGCCTGATGGTTACATAGGCTTTCCTGTTACTATTCTATTTTAAAGGCCTTGTGCTAAATTCTTCTTGGATTGGTTTTGCTGGAAGGGATTCTTTAACTTCTTGTGGGTTCTTGAAGCAAGCTCAGACAGAAATTACAGTGCAATATTATTTCAGGCACTTTTCTTGGGAGAAACCACCTGATTTCATGGCCCGACCCACCTTGATGCCAGAATCTGGGAAGCTTTTATATCAGCCACAACATGTAGGAAATAATAACTCATGAAAACTCTTCTTTGCAGCAGGAGGAAGGCAAAACATATGCTGTCCCAGATGATTCCTGCTTCCCCACTGGGTAGTGTACAGGGTGAATTAGCAGCAGCTGTAGTAACAGTAGAAAAACACAGAATAAAATTAACATCCATTTCCATTGCTATTTCATAAAATCTGGAGTACGGACAGGCTTGGGAAATACAGGCATGAAAGGAGCAGTCTGATGCTCTGACTGACTTATGATTTATTTACAAGGAGGTCACACACTTCCAATCCAATATCAACACTGATTCATAAGGCTGACCATGCAGTGAACTCTTCACACTATACGGCTCAGGAGAGTCCCTTTAATATGGGAGTATTTCTGTCTCTCAGGAAGAAAGGCACCTCCAACAAGGGCCACAGAGAAATAATGTCCCAGTGCCAGAGGAAATGCTCTGATACAAAAGAAAACACCCATTCTGGGAATGGGCTATACCCAGGGGTGACCAGCAGAATAATGAACACAGCATGGCTTATTAGAAGGACTATCAGTAGTATGCCTTATCTTAAGTGAAAAACAAAGTCCCAGTGAGGCTTTGGCAAAGTATAGTCTGAAATAGAAACCACATATTAAAAAAAAATGAGTCTTTTTAAAAAAGACTGGGTGTGGTGGCTCACGTGTATAATCCCAGCACTTTGAGAGACTGAGGCAGGAGGACTGCTTGAGGCCAGGAGTTCAAGACCAACCTGGGCAATATCTCTACAAAAAAATAAAAAAATTAGCCAGGCATGGTGGTGCAGCTACCCAGGAGGCAGCTACTGTGGTCCCAGCTGCTCAGGAGGCAGAGGTGGGAGGATCGCTGGAGCCCAGGAGCTCAAGGTTACGGTGAGCTATGATTGTGCCACTGTAGTCCAGCCTGGGTAACAGAGACCCTGTCTGGAAATATTTTTTAAAAAATAGATAAATAGATAAATAATAATAAATAAATAGAGAGCGCACTGTGTCCAAGTAGCACCCATTCTGGGTGCCATGGTAGACCACTGTGATGTAGTCCTCGGTTCTGGTGCAAGAGGCAGGGTGGTGGCAATGACACTTCTGCCTTTGTCTTGGCAGGAGTCTAACTCTAGAAATCCTCATGCTCCTCCCAACTGTTTCCCTGAGTTTGAAGCTCTCTGAGTTTCCTGAGGACAAGAGGAGCCTGAAGTCAGAGTTACTTAATGACCCAAGACGTTAAATGGAGCAACAGCAGGTTTGAGTGGGCTTCTGGAATCCTTCGTAATCATGACTCCAAAACTCCGGGAAGTTACTGCAGCACTACATCCAACCTCCAGACCTCAGACTCAAGTCCTCAGCATTTCAGAAGTTTCAAGAAGACGATCAAAGAGGCTTAGCATAAGGCATCTCATGTTATAGACAACAGATTCACAATGTACTACAGTTCTATAGCCTCCATCTGGAGATAACTGACCCCACTTTCATATCTTTATGTGCTTTGGCCCACTTTTAAAATTAGAACAATACAACTATCCTCCCTCTTCTGCCTTTCTGCTTCCACGTTTGCTTTTCATACTTACGCATTTGATAGCCTTTGACTGTGCAGGCCAGGCTGAAAGCTTGGATCAACCAACAACTATTGTGCACCAGTGTTCCAATGTATCCACATGCTCCTATCTGAAAAACAAAAGAGGGGGATAATTCTGAAGCTCTGCATCCAGAAAAAAATGTGGTGTTTTATGATCCCAATGTGTGCAAGAATTCACAAGGTCTCAGTGATAATGATTCCAGGAGATGCCAATTGTACCTAAAAATTCAGTCACCTTGTGATACTGCTTCAGGAGTAGTAAATTCCTGGGAAAAAGTAAACCGAACGAGTAAAGGAAAGGTCTTTCATGTAATGTTTTCTGTACTTGGAAGCACCAGTTTGTCAAGAGGAAGTCTTGGACGATCACAGAAATAAATCCCAACTCTGTGATAATTAATGGGTGTGCACTGAACCCTAGGACTTGGACTTCGGTACAGTTATTTTCTTACAAGCAAGACAAATAAAACCTATGCTGTTCCCTGGAGGTCATCCCAGACCTAAGCTACAGGGTGTAGCTCTTAGAACAGAACAGAGTATGTGCTTTGTGTCTTGTTTGACCAATTCTCTCGGTAAAGGAATATTTTTTTGTAAATTGGCAGGTGGTTATCTCATAACAATGAATTTTTTGTTACAGTTAAGTTTAAATCCTGAGCTGGAAAATGTTTAAACAAGTATGAATCATTGCAAGCCAATACATAAAGGTGACAGCTACATTGTGTGTGTTTCCTGGGAACATGTGAGGGAGGAGAATATCATTAGGATTTGCTCCCACAGCAGCGGTTACTCAGTATGGATTCCCCAGCCCTGGGAATATTCCAGTCCTACACCGTCATGTCCTGCTTTTGTTCCTGTTTTCCAGGCTAAAAATGCCTCCCCTCTTTGTCTCCCTGCAGACCCTTCAGTCTATTTATGAGGCTCTGAGGAGTTCAAATGGCATCACCTCCAGGAAGCTTCTTCCCAGCTTATCTAAGCAAGATATTAGGCATCCTTTTTTCTCGCTTTGTTTCTCAAAAATGTTGTAATAATTATTTAACAGATTGCATCATAATTATTTATAAGTAGGTCTACCTTCCTTTTTAGAATGTGAATTCTTTGAGGGCAAAACCTGAGAACTGTTTATCTCTATTTCTTCAATACATCAAATAGTGCTCAGCAAAAAACAGGTCTATAATACAGGTTTACAGAATGAATGAATGAACAAACTTTGAATCCACACATTTCCCAAGCGTGGCTGTGAAATCAGCCTCTGGCAACAGATTCCTCACCATCAGACCAGCTTTAGAATGAACCAGCGTTCTGTTGTCCTGTCTCATGCTCTCTTCAGCAACTCTCAATGCTACTCCAAATGTAAATTGATGTCAGAGGGGTAAAAGTGACCAATAAAATTCACTTTCACCATCACCTAGAAGATTAACCTTTCAATGGACTTCAGACAAAATAAATTATCCAAATACCTATTCATGGCTACATAAACGTGGCTTTCCAGGACTTCTAGACACAGTGATACACGTGCCCCCGCCAAAAATCAAGGAGATATCACAACTGAATTGCCTGGTGAGCTCATCCCTAAGCAGCTAGGAAGGAAGAAGCAGAAGATACTTCCTCACTGCTCTCTCAGTGCAACAGCAGTTACAGCCTGGGAGACACTGGCACAGGGATGAACTTTAAGTGAGCGCCAGTCAGAGAGCTATTAACTCCTTCAGCTAAGGAGAGGTTGTTGCTTAATTTCCTGCAGCACTAAGTCACTGAAATGGTGTCACTGTGTCCTGATAGGTTGAAGCGACTCTGGAATTACCAGTGGGCAGTGTGAGTTACATGCCATGTTAGGGGAAGAGTTGTGTTCTGAGACATAGCTACTTCAGAGCAGAGCAGCCAAGCTTTGTCGGGGCCTGGTGTGTGGGGAGGGGGGGTTCCCTCAACCTTACATGGCTCTAGCTGTGTCCTAATCAGAATGTCTATACTCAGAGACAGCCAGACAGAAAGCTGCATTTTCTCTTCTATCTGCCCACATCTTATGAGTACATAAAACATTCTTGCCTGCAATAGCCCATTCCACCTCATTCCCTACCGCACCTAGTATCATAGAGAACCACGTCCATTTTGTCTCACACTTCTACAGCTCTTTCTAGATAAGAGGGTTGCTTTTTGCCAACAGAATACAGCTTTTGAAAAGATTCAATGGCTCGAATTCAGCTCTTAACAGGGCCACTTCATAACTCATACTGGGAGTGATGACAAATTGTTCCTCAGAAGAGACAGAATTTTAATTAGTAAAAGACATTTTAGAATTTATGCCTATGAACACATATCCTTTAGCCATGTGACCTTGAAATGGTGAAAATGAGCCAAAAAGATTCTGTTTAATGTGGCAACACAGAGAAGAATAAATGGCTTTTCAATTCTGAATTTGCAGCATCTTATTTGGGGCTTTTAAGAGAGCAACACGACAAGCACTGGGCTTTTAATAACCACTGAGTGGATTGTTTACTCTTACACGGAAACTGTGTTATGCAGTGGGAACCACTTACTGACAGGATATTTTTCATCGTAATCACAAAAACGTTGTATGCGATCAGCCAGTCCCAGTAGCGCAGGATGCTCTTGATGGGTTTCAACAGCAAATCGCCCCCAAAGAGCAGGAAGTAGAAACAGGCCACTAGGTACCCCATGCAAAAGATGCTGATCCTGGTGGTCCCAGTGATGAAGATGATGGTGAGCACGAACCAGAAGAGGTAGCTGAAGACGATCACTTTGGACATGTCTAAGTAAGATCTGGAAAACAAAGCCAATGACAAAAGGACAACAACAACAAAATAAACAAAAGCAAAATCAGGAAAGTCTTTAACAAGGGAAGAAATTCATGCTCTCTACTGCACCTCGCAAATCACACTGTGAGTTTTCATTTCATCCTGCTATCTAGGAAACCCTCAAATAGTAATAGACCAACAGATGAGTTGTGGAAACCGTGTGTACGCTTCTCGTCACCTTATTCAGGCCAAATTTCTCACAAACAACAACATTTTCTGCCTACCACTTGAGTACTCAGAATTCTCCTTTCTGTTTCTGTGGGAGGCATGAATAATTGTATGGCAAAAGAAATTCTAAGATACAGATGCCTTCTGGCTAGTGAAAGAAATGTTAAGAAAGGATGAACTAGAAGGTAAACAAATTTATATTGAACACAAAGGTTTTATTACAGGTGGAAATCTTTCCCTACAGATGGGAGGAGGCGATTCTGAGCAACTATCCACAGCCATGGTGAGGCTTTTTTGTTCTTTCCAATACTCTGTTTTTGGAGGTCCTCGGGCTGAGTCAGGATTCCCTTTGCGGGCCACCCATCCCTGCTGCTTTCCTCATGGAAGGTGAAGCCAGCGTTCAGGTGTCAGTCTTGCAACAAGCAGCAGCTCTAGCCTGCGGGTCAATGTTATCTGACAGGAGTCACACCTACAGGCCAAGCCCTAACTGCATTTCTTGATTAGAACTTTTTGGTTTTGGGGGTTTTGCCTTGGTAGTTTCTTTTGGCACATGTGGGAAGAAGCAGAGGAGAACCAATTCTGGATTAATTCTTTGATTAATGGGTTCTTGTTTTGTAGGATGTTAGTGAGTAAACTGCTTAATAAAATATGCACCACACTTGAGCTATTCAGCATCATTAGGGGATGATTCTGAGTTGTGCCTTAGTACATTTCTCAGACAAGTAAACTTTTACCCTTTACCCTTTTTAAAGTAAAACGCTTAAATATGTTTATAATTCTTTTTTCTAAAATATATAAACCCTTCCTTGACTTCGTAATGGAGAGTGAATGAAATGTCAGTATCTCCCTGTATCCCTGGATCATCACAAATAAAGGTAGTGATTTGTATGAGCCTAGGGGCCTTCTGAAGTGTGTGTGGTTTTAATTCAGTGGAATTGGGCTGCTGCCATTTTGAGTGTATGTGCAGGCCCATGTGTGACTGTGAGTACAGCTTATTCTTTCCATAACATTCCTTCCTGGCCTGCAGCAGTCAATTCCCGCTTTACCAGCCCTGGCCTTCACATCTTGGCGCTGAACCCACTTTGGGTCCTGAATTCATAAAACTAAGCTTGTGAGGAGAACATGGAAAACATCAATAAACATGCTTCAAAGAAGAGCCTTAAGGATTTCTGAATAGAGAGACTGAGCCCTGGTGACAGGTACTGTGGCTAAGGGGCCACCTAACTCTCAGGGCTCTGGCCACTTTCCAGAGATCCCAGGGTGCTGTGGAGCTGACCCCTGTTGGAGAGGAAGAGGGGAGCACGGCTGTGCTTCTGACCAGCAAGCATGTGCGCTGGCTTCCTACTCACTGCTGTGGCATTTGACAGGTCACTTCCTGAGGGGGGTCACTTTGCTGGCAGTCCTCATTGAGAAAGAGAACAACAATTTGAAATAACTAAAGCAAAAATCAGCTTTAAAAATCAATGGCACACAAAAGCTTTCCATTGGAGTTATGATTTAGGTTTTTCATGAATACACTGAAAATACTTATGTTCCCTTTGCAATAGTAAATATTGGGCTGGACTGATTGTTTTCTTAGCATCACAGAGAAGAGGTAAAAATGGAAGTCTTACCTTAGATCAGTGCCTAGTTTAGTACTTAATTCACAAATAGAATGGTCAAGTCCATATAGCATATTGTTTTAAAGCAAATTCACTTCCTGATTTACTCAATTTATATCGAGCCTCTCGTGCTACCAAAAGGCACACAAGTGCTTAAACATTGATTTGGGAGCTGGATTGCTTGAGTTCCAATCCCAGTTCTGCTGTGGCCTACGTCTCATCTCGTCGCTGCAGTTTCCTCCTCTCCACAATGGGGATAACAGCATGACCTCCTTGGGCTGGGGTAAAATGGCTCCATGTATGCAAAGCCTGGACCAGAGCCTGGTGCAAAGGCAGTAGCAGGTGACTGACAGTTATCTGTATTGGTATATGCATTATGGGCCGAGAACTGTAAGTAGGGGGATGGGGACAAATACAAAAGCAAGTTAGACGTGATCTTCACCCTAAGGCTACACCTTAGAAGTGGGGATAAGACGGGTTCTTCAGATACCAACACCAGTCAGAAGATGATCCACACCATGTAAACAGGAATCTCTGGAAGACTGGAAGCTGGAGAGTGACTCCATGTGTGGGGTCGGCCAGCTCGGGTACTATCAGTGAACTACCTCCACATGGATGGCATGTGTGCCGTGACTGCATGAGCCTCTCACTGCAACCTTGTGTGGCTCAATAGGGCAGACACTAATCAGTGAGGATGAGAGGTTAGGAAATTAGTCCCATGACATACAGCTAATAAGGGGGTATCAACAGTCACAGCAGCTTCCTCAGATAGCTGACTACAGTGGGCAGCTGAGTGGAGTCTTAGAGGCACTGAAAGACCGAAGATCTGACTGCAGAGGCAGAGTGGGCCTGCCCTCCATGAAGTTGGCCTTGGGTGACAAAATCTCAACATGGAAACCCAGGGAATGCAGAAAGGGTGAATGCATGGTGAAAGGTCAAGCATGGTGTAAACACAAATACTGTGAGGGAAACACGGCCCAGATCAGCTGTTATGAGGCTGGGCAGAATGGTGGAGGACAGAAAAGCTGCTAGGGAGACCTTGCATGGCCACAGGGGAGACACTGCTCAAGAAGAGCACAGGCACAAGATGGAATCTAGGGAGCCATTCCTCCTTAGTGCCCAGTGAATATAGGAAGTGAGGACGAGGAACAAGGGATGAGGAGGAGAGATGCGAGATGAGGAAGACGAATGGAGGATGAGGAGGAGGGATGGGGAATAAGGATGAGGGATGCAGGATGAGGAGGAGGGATGGGGATAAGGATGAGGGATGGAGGATGAGGAGGAGGGATGGGGGATAAGGATGAGGGATGGAGGATGAGGAGGAGGGGGAATAAGGATGAGGGATGCAGGATGAGGAGGAGGGATGGGGATAAGGATGAGGGATGGAGGATGAGGAGGAGGGATGGGGGATAAGGATGAGGGATGGAGGATGAGGAGGAGGGATGGGGATAAGGATGAGGGATGGAGGATGAAGCGGAGGGATGGGAGATAAGGATAAGGGATGGAGGCTGAAGAGGAGAAATAGGGGATGAGGAGGAGAAATAGAGGATGAGGAGGAGGCATGGAAGATGAGAATGAGAAATGGAAGAGAAGGAGGGATGGGGATAAGGATTAGTGATGGGGATTGAGGATGAGCGATGGAGGATGAGGAGGATAAATAGAGAATGAGGATGAACTATGGGGATGAGGATGAGGGATTAAGGATAAATAGGAGGACTGGAAGATGAGAATAAAAGATGGAGATAAGGGAAAGGGGATGAGGATGAGCTATGAGGATGAGACTGAGGAATGAAGAATGAGGAGGATGAATGGAGGATGAGAATGAAAGATGAAGAAGGAGGAGGGATAGGGATAAGGATGAGGGATGGGGGCAAGAATGAGCTATGCAAATGAGGATGAGGGATGGAAGATGAGTAGGAGGAGTGGAAGATGAGAAGGAGGGATGAGGATGAGGCAGAGGCAAGAGGGATGAGGAAGAGGGATGGGAGATAAGGATAAACTATGAAGATGAGGATAAGGGATAAAGGATGAGAATGAGGGGTGAAGATGAAGAGGAGGGATGCAGGATGAGAAACAGAAATGGAGGATGAGGAGGAAGGATGGGGATGAGTAGGAGAAATGGGGGATGAGAATGAGCTATGGGGATGTAGATAAAGGATGAAAGATGAAGGCCGGGCGTGGTGGCTCACGCCTGTAATCCCTGCACTTTGGGAGGCTGAGGCGGGCAAATCACGAGGTCAGGAGATCGAGACCATCCTGGCCAACACGGTGAAACCCTGTCTCTACTAAAAATACAAAAAATTAACCGGGCGTGGTGGCGGGCGCCTGTATTCCCAGCTACTCGGGAGGCTGAAGCAGGAGAATGGTGTGAACCCGGGAGGCGGAGCTTGCAGTGAGCCGAGATCGTGCCACTGCACTCCAGCCTGGGCGACAGAGCGAGACTCTGCCTCAAAAAAAAAAAAAAAAGAAAGATGAGGAGGGATGGAGGAGGAGAAAGATGGAGGGATGGAGGGTGAGGAGGGGGGATGGCAGAGAAGGATGGATGGAGGAGGAGGAGGAGTGGGGATGAAGAGCTATGAGGATGAGAAGGAGGGATGCAGGATGAGAAGGAGAAATGGAGGATAAGGAGGAGGGATGGGGATAAAGATGAGCCATGGGGATGCGGATGAAGGATGAAAGATTGGGAGGAGGGATGAAAGATTAGGAGGAGGGATGGAGGATGAGGAGGAGGAATGGGGATAAGGATGAGGGATGAAGGATGAGAATGAGGGATGGAGATAAGGAAGGATGCAGGATAAAAAGGAATGTGGATACAAATGAGGGATGGAGGAGGAGAAGAAGGAATGGAAGATGAGGAAGAGGAATAGGAATGAAGATGAGCTATAGGGATGAGAAGGAGTAATGCAGGATGAGAAAAAGAAATGGAGGTGAGGAGGAATGGGGATAAAATGAGCTATGGGGATGTGGTTGAAGGATGAAAGATTAGGAGTAGGAATGCAGGATGAGGAGGAGAAATGGGGAAAAGGACGAGGGTTGGGGATAAAGTTGAGGGATGGAGAACATGGATAAGCTATGTGGATAAGAATGAGGGATAGAGGATGAGGAGGAAGGATGGAGATGAGAGGGAGGAAAGGGGGATGAGGATGTCCTACAGGGATGAGTATGAGGCATGAAGGATGGAGGGCAGCAGGATTAGGACTAAGAATGGGGATGAGGGATTAAGGATGAGTGGGAGGGATGGAGGATGAGAAGGAGGAATGGAGGGTGATGAGGAGGGATGGGGATAAGAATGAGAGATGGAGGATGAGAATAAGTGATGAAGATGAGGAAGAAGGCTGGAGGGTGAGGAGGAGGGGTGGGGTTAAGAATGAGCTGTGGAGATGAAGATGAAAAATGGAGGATGAGTAGGAGAGACAGAAGACGAGGAGAAGGGATGAGGATGAGGGATGAAAGATAAGGAAGAAAGATGGGGGATGAGGAAGAGGGAGGGAAGATGAGGATGAGCTATGGGGATGCAGAGGAGGGATAAGAGATGAGCGGGAGGACCCTCCACTGGAGAGCTGGTATTATTGGGACAAGTCAGCTTTGGTCTGAACAAGAGGAGGAGGACTGAGGCCATAAAGAGGTGGTTTACACGGACAAAAGCAGGTGCAGTGCTGTAATTCAGAGGCTCAGCCTCCAGGCTGCTGACTCACATTGTCCAGCATTTATTAGCTTCAGTGCATACAATTCAGCACATCTATTTCCAAAGTATAGCAGATAAAGTATAGAGGAGCAATGTAATGGAAATACACACATGAAAGTGGCTTTTAGCAAATGTGAAGCTCTTGTTACCTGCAGTGAATAAAATCTGGCACAGGGTTGTGTTGGCTAAAGGAGGCCGCATCAAGGTTCATGCAGATCTCGACATTGTCACCTGCCATGATTCGCACTGCAGCCTTGTTCTCATCCTCAAAAATCTGCCGTTGTAAGGAGGCGCACAGAAGCAGCATGAAGTCATCTGGCAAGACAGAGGTGAGATCATGAAGCCACCTCATCCTCTTCCGATTTACATAATGCAACACACATTCATCACACAGCAACAGCCACTCCCCAGCTCCTAAGTGAGTTGTTTCCAAAGTTCATAGTAAAATTCATCCTGGAGTCCAATGTCGGGGCCAAGTCACACCTTCTCCACCTCGCAGGGCATAGAGTGACCACAGACACTCCAGGAGCTCACATGAGGAGTCTCTGGATTTTGTTTGCACATTGATGAGAGAAAGTATTGGGTGGTACTTACTAGTCTTTGTGAGTCTCTTAGAGCGCAGTGCTTATTTACATTTACCTCCCACCAGTTTTAAGGAGGTCACTTAAGCAATTTCCCCATCTTTATCTTTTTATGTGTGGCAGATGCAGTATTCATTTTTCTTTTTCTTTTTCTTTTTTTTTTTTTTGAGACGGAGTGTCGCCCAGGCTGGAGTGCAGTGGCTCGATCTCAGCTCACTGCAAGCTCCACCTCCTGGGTTCACGCCATTCTCCTGCCTCAGCCTCGCATGTAGCTGGGATTACAGGTGCCTGCCACCACGCTTAGCTAATGTTTTGTATTTTTAGTAGAGACAGGGTTTCACTGTGTTAGCCAGGATGGTCTTGATCTCCTGACTTCATGATCCACCCGCCTCGGCCTCCCAAAGTGCTGGGATTACAGGCGTGAGCCACTGCACCCGGCCTCATTTTTCTATATCCTTTCCATCCCCCTTTCCATTTGCAACCAAAGATTCTCCCCAGAGCATAAGCCACACTACAGGCGTGGTGAGAGCAGGTGGAGGTGGTGGACCAGTGCCAGACAGTACAGAGCAGCCTGAGACAGCTGTCTTCCCAGCAACTGCCACAAAGGGCCTCAGGCCAAGCCTGCCTGACAGCCGGCACACAAGCTGCTTCCTTGCTTTTTAAATTAAACCTCAACTTGTTTAGGCAGGGCAGTCATTTGCATTTTCTGTAGCACCCAGTACTCTGGTCTTGGGGGAGCTGCTCTGACCTTTGGATCACCAGCTGCCCTGGGAAGGCCTTGGGGTTGCAGCCCAATTCTAGAGCAACTGAAATCTGGGAAGCATCTCCTAGCATCTGCTGCCCCATGTTCAGGGTTGATTTATCTGCACTGGGAGCAGAAACCACAAAGTCAGTAAACACAAAACACAAAGCCTTCCTCTCTGGTCTGTCTTTTGAAAGGTGGCTGCGTAGATGTGTGTGTGTGTGTTTTGGGGGAAGTGAAATTATGCAAGGGAATATGGTATTTCAAACATTGATTTATTAATTTCGCAAGTGTAATAGGGTGAGTAGAAGCCATTAATGACCTGTGATCTTAATGCATAAGACAAGCCTTTACATGATTATGAAGTCTAGTGGAAGACAAAAGGCACTAATGCATAGCACGGAAGAATGATTAGCAGTGACCCCGGATACCAGCACTCCGTGGCCCTGCAGTGGAAACACTTACAGACAAGAAACACGGGGTTGGGCCGCACAATGAAATCGGGGAAGTACAGCCACTTTATGATGTTGTCATTGAAGCTGGCACCCTTGAATCTCCACGGGTAATCTGCAGGGAGGGAAGTGGCGAACAGCACAATCAATACTCTTCTTCACCACGCTTCTCCCAGCCGTCCACTCGGTAATGGCTTCTTCTAAAAGTAGATGGCTCCAGGGAGGGGCAGGCTCACCTCGGCAAGGAGCAGGTGGGATGCCGATGCAGATGAAATACTGGAAGGTGATGATGCATGCCAGGAAGCAGCAGTACTTGGGCCAGATCTCCGCGATGGCTTTCCTTCTGCGTCTATATAAGACAGCGATCAGCCAGCAGGCGTGGATCATGGCATAGAAATCCATTCGCTGGCCAATCACGTTAACTGACATTAGGAAACAGGTCTGTGTAAAGATGAAAAGAGGCACAAAAAAAAATAAATATATCAGACTTATGGGAAAGGGGACTGGTGATAGGTATCAGGTCTGTGTAGGTGGCGGAGACCCACATCCCTCAGGGCCAGTCTGTCTGCACAGATTCACCAGTGCTTGCTCTTTTGAGTGTCTCAGGTGAAGACAGAAATACTGTACAGATTACTCCCAAGGGACAAACTGACTAAGTAGCTCTTATAATAACCACTTCAGACAATAAAGCGAACAGCAATTTTGATCTCCTCATGAAACATCACCATTCCTACTTCATTCTATGAAGGCACAGGCACTAACACAACCATTTTAGGTTAAAACAGTTCATTTTGGCCGCAGCTTATGGTTTCAGAATGCACAAAGAGAAGATTAATATTTATTTATTATTAATTAATTAATTAATTTGAGATGGAATCTTGCTCTGTCACCCAGGCTAGAGTGCACTGGTGCAATCTTGGCTTACTGCAACCTCTGCCTCCCAGGTTCAGACAATTCTCCTGCCTCAGCCTCCCAAATACCTGGGATTACAGGTGTGCACCACCGTGCATGGATAATTTTTGTATTTTTAGTAGAGATGGGGTTCCACCATGTTGGCCAGGCTGGTCTTGAACTCCTGACCTCAGAAGCTCCGCCCACCTTGGCCTTCCAAAGTGCTGGGATTACAGGCGTGAGCCACCGCGCCCAGCCAGAAGATTAATACTTTATTCTTAATAAGAAACCTGTTAACATGGCAACTCATGGCCATGCATTTACATTGCTCTGGAGATCCAGAGAGGCCAAGGCACTGCTGTGGAGGGGGGTGTTCAGCACCTAGTCTTGGAAAACTTTCAGTCAAGCCAGTTAACCATCAGTACAAATACTTTCTGTTCTTCTCAAGGAGACAGCTATCATGCCTGGAGATGTATCACAAGGTTCCAGTGGCCAATTGGCCAGAAGCAGTTCTTTGAATTTTCATGGAAAAGAGAAATAAAACATGTCAGCAAGGAAACTCACCTCCAGACCGAATTTGTAGAAGAAGTAATTTATGAAATATTTGGCACAATTAATAAGTCCATCATCTAGATGTAGTCTTGTAATGTCATGAAAGATAGTTTTAGACACAGGGGCCGTCAGGTTGTTTCGACCTCGATAGTATTCCTGATGGCGGTAAATGGTGACTTCAAAGGCCAGGATAGCCAGCATCAGGAGGTTATTCTACAAAGCAAGGAAACACAACTGTGTCAGCCAGATGCTGTACGATTTGGTAATTTCAAGCAATTCCCATATTCTTCACAACTACAAGGACAATGTTTTATAAAAGCTCACCTCTCAAACAGTTTTGAGCTCAATATTCATTTTCTCTGTCTTATTTATTGTGGCATTATCTCTATTAGAAAATCAGGCTAATTTCCAAAGTAATAGGATCTAGAATCTCCAGACATAAGATGCTGCTGCTCATTCCTATTTCTCAAAACTACACATCTCACACCAAGGAAGCAATTTCCAGTTATCCAAGGAGGGCAGTTCAGCCTTGTTTGTGACTAGAAGTGCAAAAACAGTACAGAGACATCCTGGAAAATGCACCCAGCTGGAAGAACAGGAAGCTGCTTAGGGGGAAACTTTTGAACACCCCTGAAATCTTGCTTCAGAGAGCAATAGATTGAGTAGCATGCTGACAACAGTAAAATAATAATAGTGATGATATAATGATTATTCAAGATAATGAAAACAGTTAACATTTATGGAACCATGGGTTCCAGACATGATTCAATCACCCTTTTCAAATACCAATTTGCTTTATCCTCATAACAGCTATTTACAGTGGCTACTAGTACAAAAGATGTCTACCACGTGATGAAAAATCTAGAAGCTACACAAAGAAAATGGGATGCTTAATATATTTAAAAATCCCAGGTGCTGAGTGTAGAGGCTGTACCGTTAAATGCATTGCCAGTGTAACATGATTAGGACTGCTCAGATAATCCACAAAAATAAAATGTGAAAAATCTGAAGCATGTTGTTTTCATTATGTTTGTATGGCTGTTTGTACTCAAGTTCCCTTTTATAAATACATGCTTTATTACTTCTAGATGTAATAGATTCTCTTTATTAAAAACTATAGAGAAACAGAATTTACACAGCAAAAATGTCTTGTAAGGCTATATCCGCTTCTCAGAAATAATCACTGTTGAGCATTTGGTAAACTTTACTCAATATTTTTCTTTGTGTCTCGAAGAGATCATACTATGCACAGTGTTTTGAAATTTGCTTTTTAAAAAACTTAATATATTTTAAACATGCTTCAATTCTAATGCACCCATTGACCTTAATCTTGTAATGGTCTTAAAACGATTGTATAATGTTCCAGTGAATGTATTTGTCACATTTTATTCAAGCAATCTCAGACCGTTTGGTCATTTTCTCTTTAACGTGCCATAATACTGATTTTAACACTTAGAGTTTGTTGCAAAGGTGATGCCAAATCCCACATGAGAATATGTGGTTACTATCAAATGTGATGTTGAGCGTCTCAGGGAAGAATCCTGAACTATTATATAACGGTGTGGAGGCCCAAACTAAGCACGACAAGCCGTTACCCTTAGGTAGACGAGCAGAGGCGAAGACTTCCGCAGGCCGACCCACTCTGTAGGATCGACAGGAGCACTGTAGAGCAGAGACTTGTTCAACTCATTAAGGGGGATGTTTGTTTGATTTTCATTTGGCTAAAAAGAAGAGAAAATGGAGTAAAAAAATAGCTTCACAGATTAGGAGAGCTCGGGTTATTTAGTCTTCAGCTTTGAGCAAACGGACAGTGGTGGGATGGGAGGGGCAGGCCCATCTCGGGGGAGACCTCAGTATGAGAGGAGGCTTAACACAGGGCCAGAGCACGACCAGGGAGAGGTGACTTACAAGCCCGGCCAGGCCACGCCAAATGTGCTTGGGGATGGCGGTTCCCCAAGCATCTGCCTTGCTTTGCTAAAGGGCAGTCAGGAATACTCCCCTATCACCGAGGCTCACCAAGGAACAGTTAACAGAGAAGTTCTCAGGCTTAATGGTTTGGAGCTGGTACAACATTTTGCAGACGATGATCACACACGTCCAGACCGTGCAGACACTTGAAGCCAGACGGCGCAGCTTGGCGTACGGCAGAGCAAAAGCCCAAGAAATCAAAAATACATAGTTGAACAGAGACACCTGAAAACATACAACCAGAAATGGGGACAAAAATATGTAACATGGCATAACAAACAGGACATCCACAAAACAGGATGACTTGATTTACTCAGTTCAGCAAAAGTGGACTGGATTCCTAGCACGCGCACGGAATTGCCCTAGGTGCTGGGGTACTAAAGTAGGTGAGTTATGGTCTCACCCCTCGGGGACATTATGTCTTGTATGGCAGGTGATGTCACTATCATGTAGCACTGGCTAAGCTATCGATGTGGGCAGGCTCCTGTGAGAGCATCCAGAAGGGTCCTTGGTCCAATGTGGAGGTCAGGAAGCATTTTCAAGAAGAAACAGTGCCTGAACTGAGCCAGGCCAAGAAAGACGAGAGGTGGATTCTTTAGGTAAAGGAGGCATGGGCGAAGGCAGGAAAGCATGAGCTAGTATGGTGGGGACAGGCGACAACAAACAACTGGAAAGTTCAGAGTTGAAAGTGTGAAGTGCAGCAGGAGGTGAGGCTGGAGGTGCAGCTATAGCCAAGTTCTGACGGATCCTTCTTACACCATGCTATGGCGCAGGCGCCCAGTCTTCAGAAAACGGAGAGCTGTGGAGGGGTATTACACTGGGAATTTGGAGGTAAGATTTGCTTCCCATTGAGATCAATGTAACTGACGAATGGAGGGTGCACTGTGGGGACTGGATGTGAGGTTAGGTGACCCACTCACATGCTGCTGCAACAGCCCAGGGAAGATGGGGAGGAGGCGCGGGTTCAAGATGGGAGGCAAAATTAGCTGGACTCGATGACTGATTGGCTTGGTGGGCCGGTGGGTAGGAGAGAAGGTTCAAGGAGTGACTCCCAGGTTTCCACTTGAGAGCCTGAGTGGATAACAGTACCATGACTGACACAGCAGTGCTGACAGGGAAGCTGGTCAGAGCGGCAAGTTTGTGAGCTCAGCTTGAACTGTTGACTTTGGACTGCATGCGAGTTCACTGATCAGGCCAGATGTTCTCACATTTCTAGCAATTCTGTAGTATAGTTAATAGTTCATCGGACAGTATAGAAGGACCATCATCTTCTTCAGGCATGGGAAATGCTCATTTATTCTGAATATTGTGAAAGCAATATTCTAGAAATGTTTAATATTATCAGGTAGAAATAACAGCATGCTCTCATTTGATACAACTAAACATGTACCAAGCATTGTGGGCTAAGCCTTGTGGGCTATAAGAGACATAGTTACCTACTTGGCTTATAAAATTATAAAAGAAGAGGCCGGGTGCGGTGGCTCATGCCTGTAATCCCAGCACTTCGGGAGGCCGAGGTGGGTGGATCACGAGGTCAGGAGTTCAAGACCAGCCTGGCCAAGATGGTGAAACCCCACTTCTACTAAAAATACAAAAAATTAGCTGGACTCGGTGGCAGGCGCCTGTAATCCCAGCTACTTGGGAGGCTGAGGCAGGAGAATCACTTGAACTCAGAGGGCAGAGGTTGCAGTGAGCCAAGATGGTGCTACTGCACTCCCCACCCTGGGTGACAGAGTGAGACTACGTCTCAAAAAAAAAAAAAAAAAAAAGTTAAAAAAACTATAAAAGAAGAAAATGTGGAGACTGCATGACAGTATTTAATTCTATTTGTTACCTGTTATTCTTCTACTCAACTATTTGTCACTGTCCAATGCAAGGAACCTCTCTGAAAATTAAGTGCTGAAATATTAGGGTAGGAGGAGATGCCTTATAGAATTAATTGAAGATGAAAGAAACACTGTACATGGAAAGGCCCTGTAAACCATAACTCACTCATAAACATAATCAAAGTTACCCGTTAACAAAACAGATTAGCGAACTGACTTCCTCTTTAGCCATCAGCAAGTGTCTCGTCAATTTGGATATTAAAAAGCAAACCCTATTAAAGATGCTGTGAAATTAACTCTGTTATGTCTGTTACTATGTATCTAAAGCCTTTAGTATAAAGACAGCACAATTTATTCAGAACTTTCAATTTTCTGAGTGATGGGAAAAGAGAAGTAAAGATAGTAACTTTCATTAAGTCTTAACCAGGTTCAAGGTGACACATCCTTTGAGGATTCCCTGCCCGCAGGAGGCATGTGGGAGGGACAGATGGAGGCACAAAGGTACTTGGTGACAGCATAAGGGGACTGAGACCTGAAGAATAAATAGCAGTTAGACAGGCAAAAGAAAAAGCAGGTCCAAGGCCCTTCCAGACTTGGGAGAGCATGGGCTGCCCATCCTTGGAGAAGTAAGTGATTCATGGTGAGAGAAGTGTCATCTGAAACCTGTCAGAGGACTTTAAAACCCACCTGGCGTCCTAGACTGTCCAGGGATGGCAAAGGTGAAGTGGTCTGGGCTGGATCATGGGGGTCTTATACTACGTTATCGTGGGGATGAGAGGCAGCTGCTGCAAGGTTTCGGTAGAGGGCTCTCATGATCACATCTACCCTGTGGGAAGACTATTCTGGCTGCATTGTGGAATACGTGTTGGAAAGAGAAAAGACTGGGAAAAGCTGGGAATCTGTAAGAGCAATCAAAAGGGGAGTGGAGGCAGAGGGAGTGAGTAGGTCACCTGAAAGTGCTTTGGGGCCACTCAAGAAGTGGGGTCAGGCCCAGCTGTCCCGTGGACACAGGGGCCTGGAGTTCAAAGAGAGCAGTGAGTTGACACAGATTTTAGGACTCGCAGCAGGTGAAGGGCAACTGAACCAGTGCTGTGCTTGTGAGCTAGTGAGCTCACCCATGACAGTCCAGAACAGAAACAGGCTGTGGACAGAACCTGAGGAACATGCTGAGGAGGCTGGTGGGAAGGGCAGGAGGAGCCCAGGAACGAGACAGGAAGGGTCTGACGAAGCTGTGGGGAAGGGCCGGGAAGGTGAGCTGATGTTCAAAACAAAGAGGGAGAGCTTCAATGACAAGAAAGGATCCCGAGTCCTCAGCATCCTAGAGAAGTCAAATTAGAGGACTAAAGAGCCTCTGTGAGGCGAGTATTTTTATTTTATCATTTTACGACTAGAAACACTGGGGCTCAGTGAAGTATGATACTTCATTCCATACAAATAGCAAGCCCAGTGCAAACCTCAGTGCGCCATGCCCTCTCACAGTTCTGTCATCTAAAGAGATCATGATCTCATCATTTCCCTGATGGTAAGAATCTCATGGAAGGGAAGAAGAGAGGAGGAGGAAGAAGAGGAGGAAGAGGAGGAGGAGGAGGAGGGGGAGGAAGAAGGATAAGGAAGAAGAAGAGGAGGGAGAAAAGGGGAGAGAGAAGGGGAAGCAGAAAAGAGGAGGGGGAAGGGGAAGGAGAATTAGCAGAAGGAGGAGGAGGAGGAGGACGATGACTATGACAAATACCTGGGCTACAACCGACACCTGATGAATTAGAATTTTAGGGAAATAGACACTGGTCCACATACATAACAAGTGTCCAGGTGATTCTTACTATCAAGGATTTTGAGAAACAGTTTTATGCCATAATGCTTTCCCAACAAAGCACTGTACACGGGTTGTCATCCTATCTGAATATAACCTTGTGGGGCATGAGGGCCCTGCCTCAAGGGAAGGGGCCTCTGAGAACCCAAGCCTCCTGGTCCCTGCACTTACCCATCCCTGGCTTCCCTCCCCCAAAGGACCTGGGCTGCAACTATCACCTCCAGGCTGCAACCACTTGCAAGAGATACTCCTCCCTGTGCAGCCAGTGCTCACTGTGGACACCTCTAGCACAGCACTTATTATCACTTTTAGTTTTATTTGGCAGCCATTCCCATCCCATTCCCATCAGGCTGTGAGCTCAGACAAGTGTGTCTTTCAAGCCACTGCACCAGCACCTAGCACCACGTACACATTCACTTTATTGTGAGTTCTTTTTTTTTTTTTTGAGACGGAGTCTCGCTCTGTTGCCCAGGCTGGAGTGCAGTGGCGTGATCTCCGCTCACTGCAAGCTCACGCCATTCTCCTGCCTCAGCCTCCCCAGTAGCTGGGACTATAGGCGTCCGCCACCACACCTGGCTAAATTTTTGTATTTTTAGTAGAGACGGGCTTTCATTGTGTTAGCCAGGATGGTCTCGATCTCCTGACCTTGTGATCAGCCTGTCTTGGCCTCCCAAAGTGCCAGGATTACAGGCCTGAGCCACCACGCCCGGCCTATTGTGAGTTCTTAATAAAGGCTCAATGAATGCTTAGTGAGAGCAAAAATATAACAATAATGACGAAACCTCAACTGACAAGAAGGAGAAACCTCAGGTTTGCAAAGTCCTTTTATTATCTTCTTTCCTTCCTTCCTTCCTTCGTTCATGGAGCTTCTCCAACTGGCCAGGCCCCCGGGAAGAGCTGAGGTGCTAACAGAAAGTGTGGCCTCTTCCTCAAGATTCACCTGACCTCACAGAGCTGTCCAACAGCCTTTGGAATTAGAAAGTAGCTATGTATTTCAAAAGGAGAAGAAAATGTTGTATGTATTTTATATATATATATAATATATATAATATATATATTTAAATCTAGATTATTCCAAAGCAGTGTCACTCTTGAATAAGATGTTGATGTAAAATAAATGTTTCACTAACCATTTCTTTTCCAGCAGCTTCTTCTTTTCCAGATGCTTCATGATAACTTTGAAAAGGTTTAATATTTGCAGGAGAGATGAACCCAAAAGTTGTGAAAACAAGCACCCTTACTGAGGCCTTGGGTCTTGAACCCAAAGCTGCCACAGCTCCTGAAGAGCTCTTTGTGGAGAGGGGCTGCTTCCTGCCTGTCCCCCGCCCAGTGCCAAGATGATGGGGCAGGTGGAGATGCAGGAAGGAGAATGTCCTCTGTGCACAGCCCGAGTGAGGAGCTAATCACTCGGAGCCCGATGCGTGCACCTGGAGCTTGGGCACAGAGCTTGGGCACTGGTACCCGTGGGGCCTGAGAGATGAAGAGCTCTGGCTACAGGGTGCAGAGTCTCTCTGTCGGGCTCCCATGTGTGCAGGCAGAGCAGGGCCTGTGTGAGGGCAGCTCTTGGGCCTGATGGGAAGGCACAGAGCGCCCAGAGCTGCTCCGAGGCTGCAGGGAAGGCTGTATGGAAGGGCAGCAGGACTCCACAGAGGAGTCCAGGAGGAGGAGGAGCTGGGCAACCAGGGGCTGGGCAACCAGGGGCTGGGTACCGGTGCCGGCCAAGAGTGCCAGTGGGATGCCCCACCGAGGAGCCTCCAGGAGGGCAAGGGCAGGTTTACCCGCCAGCTGCCAGCCCAGAGCATGAGGCCATCATGGGATGGCACAGGCCAAGTCACAACATCCCCATCCCAGGGGGCCTTGCCCTAAGCCTGTGAGTCTGAGCTCCAGCCCAGGAAAGAATGAAACAAAAGAAGGACTAAAGAGCCTCTGTGAGGTGGATTTTTGTTTTTAAATAAAAAACTTCCTTACAGAAGTTAGGAAGGAAGGAGGTGTGGGTGAGAAGGAAAGGATCAGCTAGGAAAGGGGAGCTTCTACCTGCGGAGGGACCTGAGTCTCGATGATTCTCCGTGACTCCACAATTTTAACTACTGAAGTGAGATTTTGCTCACTTAAGTCACTGTAGGATCTTGTATTTCTTAGGAATGATCAGAAAGTGCGCTGAGTTCAGGGACACGGAGGAAAGTTTCCCTATAGGATGCATTTTAAAGGGACAATGAAGGTCTGAAGAGAAGTCTTTTGATTGCATGTCACCACATTGATCGCTTAGTGTGTCAGTTACATTAGACAGAGCCAGCGATGCACACACTGTCAAGAACCCAGAGACCAAAGCTTCAGGGCCAGAAACCCCCATGCAAGTGAGGTGACATCACGTACAACACGAGTGGCCGAAACAATCTTACAACAACGGGATTTGGCAGATGCCAGCAGCAGAAGGAGCAGGATTTCTATGCCTCATGTGTCTCTCGCTTGTTTTAAAATTAAAGGTGAGAGAGATGAAATTAGGAATTAAATTCTGAAAGTCTGCACAATGTGTCAATCACAGAGAAGGGAGTGGTGATACTCTATGGAAGGCTGTTTTCCTAAGAGTGTAACACGGTAACTAGATATTTTGTTTACTTGATGGTCTGTTAACAAGGTTATGTCTGGGGACTCATTAAGGATAATGAAAAAAGTTGTCTGCCTTTTGTTTAGGATCTATAAGAAATTGCATCCTTTAACCCTTTTCTGATGGATAGATTGTACAACAGGATGGATTTATGACAGCAGATTCTCTGTCTGACTCCCATGAATTTCCTGTTCCCCCTAATGCCCACTCCCATCATTACACTGTCTGAACACGCCTTCACACCCCACAGCACAGCTTCTCATGAATCAGAAGGCATCTGTACCTCAGATTGGATTTCTTCAGAAATGGTCTTTGTGCATTTTTTGTCAAATGCCTTCTCTTGTTCTTTTCTATTTCTCTTTAATACCCTAACCCTCAAATTTTTATCTGAACTGTTCAATTCACCTCTACAGTTAAAATGCTTAAACTTTTGCTCTCAATGAATACAAATATTAGGATAGATTTGGGCTCCATTTAATGTATATGCCCCATGACTTAAGAATGCAGCCACTGCCCTAATATCCAGAATCTACAAAGAACTCAAACTTACAAGAAAATAAACCAAACAACCCCATCAAAAAGGGGGCAAAGGATATGAACAGACACTTCTCAAAAGAAGA